ATTCTTAAATCATGTATTAAAAATGATATAAAATTACAAAATTCTGTCATTCGACATAAGAATTCAAGATGTAATAACTCTTTTAATAGGTTCGCAAAATTCCTAAAATTTTGTACAATGTTTTGTTAATATAACATCTAGTAACTGTTAAAACTTCAATGCTTCGTCACTGTTTTTACGTAAGGATTCGTACAACCTTAAGATTTCGCTTATAAATACCTGCGGATACGTTAGAGAAGATTCCTGAGTCGCTGCAACCTTAATGGCAGATACTTTTGTTAATTGTTGCGGCGTTGCGGATATCCTTAAATTATAGATTTTCCCAGAAGTCAGAGGTACTCTCAATGAAGCGTAACTCGCCACTTCCGTTTCCTATAATACAAAAGACTTGGTTATTTCGCGCATCGTACTATCTACTTATTGGGAATAATAATCGAGCGAAATAACGAGTTACTTTTGAAACTTCGGGCCCGTTTAATTTTGCCGTAATGACTCCACCCCCGCAGGTCAGAATGTGAAAGGTGGTGGAAGCGTTTCCGGTCGGACGGTACCGAAAGTTCACGTATCCGTCATTCTTGCGAAGATTTGCGGTGATGTAACGTCCTGGTCGTAATCTCCATTCCGGAGTTCTGCGAAATTTTATAGCGTCGGTTGCTACGCGATTCGAAACGTTGTTTCTCGCATCCACCTAAGAATTGTAAGTTATAATACGATTGAAGGTACGATTATTAAAAATAAGAAAACAAAGGAATGAAAAAGTAGACAGTGGAAGAAGAAACGAATTAACCAAAAGAGGAAATTGGAACTACGAATGAAAGCGAATCGAGTGTCCACGGAATGTCTGATCGGTGATCGACTCGTATCCCTTAATCGCCGTCTTAACGTCTAGTCTAGATTGGCTTGTACTACTTCGATACTCGTTTCAGCTTTCAGCTTCTAGTGATATCAGTAGTGGAAAAAGGAAATAAGATAGGGACATGTATACGAATGACCGATGGAAATTCTGAATGGGAAGATTGGACGAAGAAGAAGTTTTTGCAATACACAATTTATTAATTAATTATTGATGCTAGCGAAAAATTTTTAATACAGAAGTTATAGGCATTGACGCTCTCTACAAGAAAGATTCTATGCATTTTTCTTCTAATTCCAGTATTTAACAAGTTAAGTACGATTAATCGGCATTTTATGGGTCTTGAGAAAATCCGACCGTCTCACCGTCGAAACGGCGAACTTTTGGTAAAAAATTTCGTTTTTCCTCAAATACTCCTAAACCGTCCGAGATACGGAAAAATTGCATAAGACCTTTCTTG